CCCTCCCTCATTATTGTAAGCCGCCCTGAGTCCCCTCAGGGAAAAGGGCGACCTATAAGTGTTCAATAAAACTCAAAAAACTCTTTTTTTTTTCTTTCTTTCAAAAAGATTACCCAGATCCTGCCTTCTTTTGGAGTGCTGTCAATGAACAGCATTTTGGTGATAGAAGCATGAGCTTAGGAGATTCAAACCCAGCAACAACAGAAAAGATATTGGACCTTCCAAATTCGAATAGAAAAATGATGCATTTGTGAGGAAAATGGTAATAATCAGAAATGGCAAATTCTACCCACAGTGTGAATTCACACCCCCAGTGTGAACGTCTCACAAACTGCCTCCCAAAATCAATGAGAAGTCAAAGCTCAAATATGCATCCAAAGAAGAGGGACAGACTGCCTCCCAAATGGAATTGGCCCCAAAATGAGACTCAGCATTAAAAAAAAACAAACATTTGGCCTTTGACAAGGGGACAGACAAAAAAAACAAAAAACCAAACCCAGATATTTAGCTACTTACTGATTGAGGTAGAAACCTCGGGTGGATGCGGTAATGCTGACATGTCGATCTTCTACCGTGATGACATACAAGTACATGAGATCTCCGTGCATCTTGCGATTGCCAGGTGGTGGATTCCAGCCACTCATAGTTAGGACTTTTAGGCACTGCAGAGGCTTGGTGGGCAGGAGGGGAGGTTTATGGGAAGAGATAAAGAGAGAAAATTTAAAAGCGAACAAGAGATTTAAATTCCCTCTTGGGAATGTCTTTTTAAAAAAAAGTAAAAGCACCATGCAAATAATTCAGATAATCAATCAATCAACCAACCAACCAATGATCTTGTGGTTTCTCTCCACTTTTGATAGTTAGGATCTGCATTCCAGCCACTTCTTCTGAATTAAAATGGTGAATTCCAAAGCTCCCAGTTGGTATATTACCCCTTACATGGGGAGAGCAGCAAGAATTCCTATACATTCCGAAATTATCTGTCTTTACTTGTCTTTCTGTTCTCAATCGTTTCCAAAGCCTCCAATTTTAGACCATTTTCTCAACACCACAGACTCCAAACTCCCAGAATTCTTCATTCGCCCACATCTTTAATGTGGCTTTTGATACTATGCATTTTATCAGAGCACAATTGCTTGAGATAGTTATACTGAGTGGGTTTACTCGTTTCCCTAAACCAGTGGTCCCCAACCTTTTTATCGCTGCGGACCAGTCAGCCTTTGATAATTTTACCGTGGCCCCCTGAGGGCGCGCAGGGGTGGGGGGGCCACGGTAAATGTAAAATTTTATTGAATATTAACTAGGTTGCTTCTTTTAAGCTATTTTAATGTTTTAAAAAGTAAAATCTGATTTGACAAAATTCTCAAGA